AATGCCCGCATCATGTTGTGGAAAAATAGAATTAATACAAAAGCTGCAGGCAAGGAATTCTTTTGTAGTGTGTCTTCAAAAAAAAGGACATCCATCATCTGAGCCGATTCTTATTTCCGTTTTGTCTGCAGGCAAAGCGCACAAAAGACAATGCACCAAACTGAACTTGACCTGCAATTACCGTGCATCATGTATTCTGGCGACAGTCATGCATGATCTATATTTGTAAATGTACAAAGCTATCATAAAAACCAAAACAAACCAATATCATTAGTGATGACGGATTGCCAGTTCTTTATTTTGCGCCAGTTCATCGCGCTTAAACGATGGCGGACAATAAATCAAAGCGCTTAAAGGATTGCGCCGCACCCCCGGAACGACGTTGAAACCTATCTATTGTTTTTTCCTCCCTTCGCTCTCAATCCGTCTGCCAAAGTCAACATTTTTCTTCCCACCAGCCTTCGCTGTCATTACGCCGGCTTTGTTCGGAGCCCCACTTAGACTGTCGCGCGCTGATTACAGCCTCTCTGTTTCCATAGCGATGCTGAAATCTATTATGGTCATAAATGGAGCAAAAAAGATGGATGAAAGCGAACGCGGCACTCGGCTGGTAGGCTCTTCTTCTCCGAAAATGCTCACTCCAGCCTCATCAGCGCAACCCTCCACAATCCTTTGCCAAATGAGCTCGAGCGTTTCCATCAGCTTACCAAACAATTACGCCAACCTTCGGTTTTCTTTTGGATGTGGCGGCTGCACCTTCTCGTCCCATCATTACCGGGGGGACTGGGAATTATGTCCGCTTTGAGTTTCCGAAGCACTTCATTCGTACTTTAGTCTATTTTAGTTGATGTTGATTGCATTCGAGTATTTTATTGTTCGTTGCAACTAATGCATTGGTGTAGGGGGGAGAGAGAAGGGGGGGGGGGTCATGTTTTGACGCCTGACAAGAACATTTCAATTCAGCTGGATTTTTTTTTTTTAAACCCCATTTTATATATTTAGTGGGGTCAGTAACCCGACTGTGTAGGTTGTTTATTTTGGCACGACTTGATCCAAATCATTTAATTTAAATTAAAACGCGTGGGGGGCTCTCTGTACTCCGCAACGGTGATGTAATAAGTTGCAAGAAGCCTTCTTTTGTGAGCAGAAAAGTGGCACTTTGCTGAATAATTAAAAACGGCTCCTTTATGAATTCATTTGCGTGCCCTGCATGGTAAATGCAGTTGTTGTTGTCGAGCAACATTCACCCAAGTGCATTTTTACTTTTTGCCGGCGTTGAGTGGGGACTGCTCCAAGTCACTCTGCGAGGAATGACCACTTGCTTGCCATATAGTGAGCTCGCATTCAATTTACAATTTTAGCGCCTCAAATATGACACTGTCCGCACTCTAAATCATCGCAAGATATGATTCTACCTTTAATAAAAGCACAATAGACACTTCATATCGTGTCTCCCCCCCCCGCCGCGAGCACTGAAAGAGGACACGCGTTCTTTGCAAACCTTTCATCGCAAGACCTTTATCAGAAGTTAATATGAAATTATCCAATTAGCACTTCATTTTGCCCGAGCCAGATGGAGCCGTGATGAATAGTCATGAACGATTTTTTTTGTGCAATATGAATGCGCTTCAGGACAATGACAAACCACTAACGCATGAGTCAGACCGTCGAGTCAGACTCATGCGATGGGAACGTTGGATTTTGCTGCAGTTTTCCACCAAGCGTGACTACGCGAGCGGTTGAGTCATCGCGTCGACTTTTCGGAGGGGGCGGAGGTGTCACTGTTGCAGACCGGACAGGCGGCCACTTGGGTGGCTTCAGCATCATGGAGTCATGTCGTGTCGGGTTGCGGGGAGAGGATGATGTCACCGCATCAGGGATTGAGATTTGTTGTCTAGGCTGAGCTCATGAGTGGCGACGTTATTCGGGCCTTTTGTAGGGTGAGAGGGAACCGAGAGGAAGAGAGATGACTTGAATTTCAAGCATCACACCTTGGGAGTTTTGCAATTTCAGAGACATTACTCGGCCGATTTCCTGCTTTGTGCTGAGTAAAAAAAATAATAAATAAATAGAATCTTTATGCACACTGCCTCAGAAGAGTTGCTAACTCTCAACCAACTGCAATGGGCCATTGTTAAAAAAAAAAAAAAAAAAATGGGGACTAACAAAAATTTAAGTTGGAGCAACGGTAAAATTTAAATGCCAAACTTAAAATTGGATTGACGTTTGCTGCCTTAAAATTTTGAGCTCACTCAAAATGATTATTTTTTGGGGATAACCGCCAGAGCTGGAGTCAGAGCTTCTGATGTCACTAACTAGACCGAGCCCCTTAAAGCCACACATCAGAGCAAAAAACGATTGTGTGTCTTTCATCTGAAATAATCTTCATTAAAAAAAAGAAAGAAAGAAAGAAATCCATTTGTCCATCCGTTTTTATCTTCCACTTGGATGGCTTTGACTATTGAAGGAGATTTGGGATTGGTGGGAGGTCGGCGGACATATGGTGGTGGGTCACTTTCTCAGCTGGACAATTTAAAGGGAGAGAAGCCCCAATGTGCGCACGTGTGCTGGGTTTGTGTGCTCATGCGCCATGATAAATACTTCCTCCATCTGCAACGCACGCTGCCACTGAAGGGGCGAATAAAGGTCACATTTGTGTGTGTGTGTGTGTGTGTGTGTGTCTGCAGGTGGCTGAGCTAAATCCTTCACTTGCTTATCATCACAGCCTAAATGAAAAAGGAATAACTCAAGACCTTCAACTCGGCCGGCCTTCGGCAATTTCCCTCCATTTTTCAGCAGAGTGCAACGAAGCTAAGGGCGGGGAAGCTTCAAGAACTGTCTCCACTTTTGGCTTGGCCACACGGCGGGGGAACGATGGCAGCAAACAGTGAAAACAATAGGATGAGCGAAACCAAAAAGGGACAGACGTCGAGACTACCTTCCGCAGCTGTCAAGAGGCAGATCAAACCGACTTTGAAACAACACACCATCTCCGCTTATTCACCTGGGCGATTTGCTTTTGTTTTCGTCAGGTTGTGATGATCCACGTCTCCCTGGGCGCCCGGGGAGTCGTCCTCTTGTGATTAATTGTGACACGCAGCAGTCTGCCACCCAGATGGATGAGCAGCGCTCCCTGTTCCCCCTACTGTGTTCTTTTTGTAGGTCTGTTGCTGCGCGTGTGGGCGGGCGAGCATCTGTGCTTTTCATATTTACATTACGCGGACAAAAGTACTGGGACACGGGGACGTGACACCCGGAGAAGCGTCAAAATGAACGATGCAGACTAAACTCCCGAGATGCTTTCACCCCCGGAGTAACAAAAGGAAGACAAACAGTGGAGCGGCACAGTACTCGTAGTCACGTCTGCTTTATCCACCGCGTCGAAGAACTAATATTAGTGCTGCACTGATGAGCCGAGAGAAGAATTGAGATCTCTTCATGAACCCGACACGTGGATGTGTCTTATACTGCCCCCAGGTGGCCAAGGCGGGCACACCAGAAGGAGCAGCGTTGCCATCCAATTGATGCAGTGTGACAAAAGCAGTAGAATTTTTTAACAATTCGATTTGCTGTGATGGTATTTTTTTTTAGAAAGCACAATATTAGAGTGGGGGTTAAGCTGAAGCTGTTTGACGCCAAAAAAATCCATCCGAGTATCTTAATGGACCTCATCATTTTGTCTTTTTCTCTTATGAAAACGTCCCAAAGTGCAGACACAGCCCGTTTCACTGGTAGATTGATTGGCTTCGTTATTTATCATTTATGAAGCAATCACTGACTTTCATGACAAGAATAAAGTTGCGGGAATTGACAACGCTGTTCTATTTTATTTTCGGGAGACATTTTAGCGCTCACCTCCACCACCGCAACGTGAGTTATTTTCAAGGATGCGCTTGGACTCTCTGTAACATTTTTTTGGATGACAATAATCACAGAAAATCTCAAGACTGCAAATTGTTTGTGGAGTGTGACCAAAGATGCTCTCAGGACTCAAGGTGGCAAATTGGAAGTGAGTGAAAATCACGGGGTGAGAAAATGGAACGTGCAAAGTAAAGGCCATCTATTTGATTTACACCCCTTTGCAGTTATCCTCCTGACACACACACACACACACACACACACACACACACACACACACACACACACACACACACACACACACACGCACGCACACACACACACACACGCACACACGACTCCGTCAAACTTTTGTGTGATGCTCTATTTTGCTTATTCAAAGCTATGCTAACATCGAGTGATCAGATCTTACACAGAAACACTGCAGGACAACTGCTCAGTTTTGAGGAGGATTTATCCTTGCGGTTTTCGACCTGCCCGCACTCTGCCGACTGTTCATATTTTTGCCCCTTTCATACGAGTGACTGTTGTAAATGTCTCATCGTGAGACCCAGAGTAGTTCCACACGACTGCCAATGAATGACTGCATGTAAACTCATTAGCTCCCTCTGACAGTGTCAATCAAAAGTGAACAATAATGTTTGTAAAGTCAGACTTGTTGGGCGCGCATTGCGCACAACGCCATCTGTAACAAAGCTGGGTGTTTGTTTACTTGTTTTGCGCTTCATTAAACAGGAAGTTGGCTTCATAATTAATTTCCTGTCGAAAAGTCCGGGAGATGGATGACAGCGATCAGGCGGAAGGGAAACAAATGCATCAAAAGCAGCAGAGATTTTGCCTTTCTTTGTCCAACTAAAAGATTGAATCACTTGGATCAACGGATAAAAGTGTTTTTTTTTTCTCTCTCTCTCTCTTTTTTTTTTTTTTTAATGAAATGCACCGGTCCGATAAGAGGGACTATTTTAAATTCAGAGGTATCAATCTGCATTTCATTTGAAGACGGTACCAAACATTCAGTGCATGTGAAGGTGACACCATGCTCACATTTGCAAATCATTGCCTTGTTTTTAATGCATTTATATTATAGATCTCATCTTCGGATGCAAACTTAATATAAGCTTCACCGCGGGGTCGCCTCTTACCTTTTTCTTTTCCATTCTTTCCATCCATCTCCACGGGACATCTGGGATTAGGCCGGACTTCCCGCTGCTCTCAGCCTGCGGGACAACATTTGTGAAGGATGATTGGACGTTGTTGATTATCTGTCAAGATTGTGTACTTTGTCTGTATACATTATCCATGTTTGTGTGACACAGGGCTCAAGACTAACTTTTGCGGCGGCTGCACACCAGTCCATCCAACTCATTTTCTTTGGTTCCCCCCCACATTTTCAATGGCATCGCATTTAACACCACCATTTTTGACTTTTTTTTTTTTTTTTAAAGGGAACGATGGAGCTACTAGTGCCAGGACAAAAAGCAGAGACACCTAAGACTTGAAGCTCACGACGACAAGTCTATCCAGGACGGAACAAAACTCAGGTACTAACAAACAGCTGCATTTTTTTTTTAAATTTTCGATGAGCTCCCTTCAGCTTTTAAAAATCACCGCGGGAACTGATATAGCATTCATTTGTGGTTTGTTTTCACTTTGATTGAAATCTGCACTTGCTGCACCGCGATGGTTCCATAAAGTGAAGCACCCGAATGAAAATGTCTCACCTCGCGCCTTTGAGCTAAAGGGGCATTGACACAGTCAGATCCGTATGAAACAGAAACGTTTATGATGACAAATCAGCATGATGCGGCGCGCTTCTAAAACAGGTAAGAGTTGCGTGAGCTGAGCAAGGTTGTCATGACAACGGCGAAGCATTCTGGTCTTCACTTTTGAGCAGAGGATACGCAACTGACACAATGAATGCCGCAAAGCATCAAAAAAAGAGAAAAAAAAGGAGCTGGTGGATGGAAAGTGAAGGGAGTGAAGGAGCGAGGAGGACATGGACTTTGGTAAAAGATGCTCTGGGATAAAACCTTCAGCTCCAGTGCCAGGTTAAAGAGCAAACAGGCTGGGGGTGGGGTTTTGAAGAAGCGGGCATGGGGGAAGTTGGAGGAGAAGAGCGACGGCGGGTGCTCCATCACTCTTGGAAGAGCTGACAACAGATCAATAATCAAAGAGGGAAGGCAAAGGGGCCACATGGCTTTCTCGGATTCTCCATCTTGAGCCCTCCCCTGTGCTGATCTCTCTCTCCTCCATCTTCCTCTTCTCCCTTGACTCGCTCCCTTTGACCTCCCTTCCATCCTTCACATGGCTCCGAAGAGACGGAAAGGGCCGTTATCTGGCTTCGAACGCGGCTCTCGGCAGGCTGCGCCTTATCTCTTGTTTCTGTCCCGCCGCTCGACTGTGGACCGACGTGAAGGCAGTTGTCGCTCAACAGTATGTGATGCAACTGTAGCCGAATGACAAATAGGAACATAGAGGCCGCTACGTTTCCATTTAGCTTGGGGAATTTTAGAAACGATTCGCAGATGGACACCGTCTGTGAGAATGAAAGCGAACGGACGCCGAGATGGGCTCGAAGTGGCAGATTTCATTTCAGACGCGATCCGAACGGACGTTAGGCCGCGAGTATTTGACAGCTGAGGCGCCGCCGTTTTTGTCAGCATGTCATCCTCTCGTCCGGGGCTCACCAACTGACGTTGGAGCAGTACTGCGAGATTGCCTCCTGGCAAGAAATCCTCCGCTCCCGACTGCAGTTCAGCACCGGTTTGTGCCGCTTTATACGGCGGTCACACCACTCCCACGCAAAATGCAATTCACGGATGCATGTCAACTTTCAAAGTGCACATTTTCCTCTGCCATATATTTACACACACACACACACACACACACGTACACGAAGGTGATAAAATAGCCAAATAATTCTGCTCACATTTGAGCGGCAAAGCTCAAACATACGGCCCGGCCGAAAGCAAACGTAGCGCCACGTGAGTGTACATACACACGCCGCCTGCCCGTACGATACCTCCAGCGAGTGAATTATGTATGAGATGTCTGCTTGTGTGTTTCAGTGACAGATGCTCTCTTCTGTCACTCATCCAACACACACATATGCAGACAGGGGTCGCAGAAGGGCACCGCCACAACAATATGGCCGCTCCACTCATCAAAAGACGCACGCTTTGCGTTTCGCCCGTCAGCTGAGGCCTCTGAAGCGGGCGCTTGCACAAGGCAGAAGAAAGAAACGAGCGCGGCGGTATCACCGCCGGCTTTGGTTTCGCTTTCAAGCCAACGTCAGCGGCACTAATCAGAGCGTTGAGCAGAAATCAAGATGAGAGGCTCGTGAAAATAAAATATCTGCTGGCGGGGAGCGCAGCCGTGTCATTTCCTTTACCGGTGCTTCTTATCACCGCTATTGATCTCGCGCGTCTGCGGGATCAACGCCGTGTCTCGGGTGTGTCTGGGAGAAGGAGTTTTTTTGGGGGAGGAGACAAACGGAGGGGGGCGGGGATGAGGAGGAAGAGACACGGCAAGAGAAGATGGAAAGGTCAGTGCGGCTGAAGAAAAATGATGGGGCGGCAGCCGCTTCGTTCGGCAAACTGCAACAGCCCCCCCCGACACGGCGCCATCTACAGGGCGTACCTAATGAGCAACCACCACTGGGGTGGAAGAACTGGCAGGAAAGCGAGGTTCACAATTGAACATAAACCCGAGCGAAAGAACAGAAACGCGAGGAGAGGGAGAGTAAGTCTCCCCCGTGCGCACTGCGGACGTGAACCCGACTCGCTTGTTTCAAAGCTACGCCTCAGCCTCGACGACGTCCCCTCCGGCGAGCACATCACGAAGGTTACCCCCGCTTCTCTGCCGACAGTAATGCATTGCGGCGCCATTTATTAATCGTGAGCCCAAGGGCACGAGGAGAGCAAAGCCGCTCTTCAGGTAAAGCCACGGCACGAATCGGGGACTTAAGAGTCCCGGCTGATGTTCTCTGGGCCGCAATACGCTCGGAGGTGCGACATCATCGACTCATTTGCCCTTTGCCACTGTCATGCCGGACCATATTTGTTTTGTATTACAAGTGCTGCCACGGGAGACGTGTTCATTTGCATGTTCAGGTTGATACTTGCACACCAGCACACTCCATTGCAAGCCACTCTTGACAGACACGACTGGTGGCTGAACTCGAGCCCATCACATCTGACTTTGGGAGAGAGGTGGTGTCCCTATGGGCAATAATTGGGGGGGAAAAAAAAAAAAGCAGTGCCGCTCAGCTCTGACTAGCGGACTGTATCGCTAACTATGAAAACAAAAACAAACAAGCTGCTAGCGGCATTTAAAGAACCTCTTCAAATCTCTTCAGAAGGAGCCTCCAAAATCAATTGTGTTTTACAGCAACAACTGACAGCATTTGTGTGGCGGCAAAGCACTAGTCTTGTCTAAATGAAATACCTCATCTCAATTCAACAACATTTCTTGTTTCCAAAATGCAACAAGGTGGCGGCAAAGCACTACTTTTGTCCGAATAAAACTCCTCAACTCTTTCCCCACGTTGTTCCTCGGTACCAAGACGCCACAAGATGGCAGAAAAGCACGACTTTCATCCAGATGAAGTGGATCAATTTAGGTCAACAGCACCACAATGCCACAAGATGGTGGCAAAGCACTACTTTTGTCCCCAAAGAAGACAAGGGGGTGAGTCAGTGACTAATGGAGGAGAACCACAAATATGCATGCAGTATAAGCTTTGACGCCAGCTCAACATGGATCACTCTCAGGAGAACATATGCGTGTACTTGTCTGCAACTACAAATCTTAATGTCACGTCACATTTAAATGTATACACAAGTACCTGGCTGGGGTCCAATCATCAGTCACAGTGGGTTGCTTTGACTTTGACTGCTGATGGACAACCTCCCTCTGTGACATCCCTGATTAGGGTGAAGGAAAACATTCCCACCCGCCAAGTAGCACTTATGATGATGCGACTCTTGACAACAATGTAGACATCACCGCGAGCCCCCCCCGTTCAACATTCGACTTTCACACCGTCGTGCCGCATGTGATTTTTCAGCCGTGTCGAGATGACGCCATGCCGATGTGAGCATGCTAATCCGTCGGATGACTGTGGAGAATCACCACGATAGGTTATTATAAGACCCAAAATAGCCAATTCGTCAGGGCGTGACGTGCACAAACACACAAATACACGAGGGAAGTCTTTTACAAAGGGCTTCTGCGTAAACGCTGCTGTTTGCATAGCAGAAATGAAATCAGCCATGAAGTCTCCAGAGGTCACATTTCCCCGAGACAAGGTGAGAGCAAAATAAGGACGAGGCAGGAGAGTGTTTGATGGATTTTATCTGTCTTAAAAAGGGGATGCATGTCTATGTGTGTCTGTGTGTGTGTGTGGGGGGGGGGGCGGGCGGTGGGGTAAAGTGTGAAAATAGATAAGGAGTGTGAGGAAGAGATGAGGGAGGATGATACAATCATGCCCATGACACGTTTGTTATTGCAGTGTGTATCTGGGTGCTTTTTTTCCCCCTGAATGCAAAAAGGAAACTTGTCACCTTCACCCACACAGTCTTCATTCTATTCTGCATGCTTCAAAAAGAAACAATAGGTTGAGGATTCCTTGCGATTCCCCCTTTGCCCTTGAAAAGATGGACTGAAAAATAGTCCAAAACTAGAACATGACTGCCCTCTTGTGGCTGCAATTGGCGTTAAATGATTTATTTAGAGCAGGGGTGTCAAACTCATTTCACATTGTGGGCCACATACGGCCTCGGTAGATGTCAAGTGGGCCGGACCATGACAATTATACCATACTCTGCTATCAATAACCAAAATAATATGTCTTTCCTTTGTTTTGGTCTAAAGAAGCACAAGAACATGCTGTCACCAAGGCGTTGAACCGCACTGGCTTTGTCAGCATCGCCACCTACAGGCCATGTGCGCAAATAACAATTTTCTTTTCTTTTTTTTTTCCAACTCTGCTCAGTAGATGGCAGCAGAGACTTCACATCCAATGGCACACGCAGGAGGGCATTTTCTCCGCTTCTATGCAAGTGATTATGCATGAATGAAAGCCCAAAACGTCGCCTTCAGCGGCGGATGCAGACAATTATTTGTACGGTTCGCGCGTGTGTCGTGCTCATGGGGTGAACGAGGGTGACAGGGTGGCGAATCTGCAAATAACGAGCCATAATTAGGGTTGAACGTT